ATAATATCTACAATGATGGATTACATCACGTGACCTGTTAAATTATCTCCGATTCTCGCTTGCTCAGTCAACAATGGCGAGACTGCGGCTGTTTACGTTGATGTTGTTTGTCTTTTAATTGTTTGTCTTGATTGCGTCTGTTTATGTTGTTCAAGTCAAGAAATTGGAGGGCCTAAGCCCTAAATGGGAGCAATATTTTTTTTTTGGTTCCTGGAAACTCATTTAGAATTATCAACTTGGTTGCGGGCCATATAAGAAAAATTATATTATAAAAATAACACCCAGATTACCTCGTTATATATTAAATATGTTTGTGAAATCGTCTTGTATAATATTGATATTTGGGTCTTTTTTATCAGCTTCTATATAACAACCGTCGTCTCTGTGGCTAAGTCGATGCGAACGCTTCGTAATGTCGGGGTGCCGGGTTCGATCCCAGCTGCGTGCCATACGCCTTGCGTTGGTTTCGACAGTGGTATCAGGGAGCTGACCATCCAGGAAGCAATGGCAAACAACTGGACTTAAATTTGCCTAGAGAAACCACACAGCCAGGGGCTGCTGGGGTTGGCTCTACAACGTCCTGTAAAGGATACTCAACTAACCTATATAACTAACGCATGTTTTGTGTTCTGCTATTTTGTGAGCGCAAGTGTCCGATTATATAGTAATTTAACTCCAGCCTCGCGGGCCAGTAAAAATTGTTCGGCGTGTCATTTTCGGAGCGCGGGCCATAGTTTGCCCACCCCTAAACATTCGCCGGGGCTATATCTGAACCCTTCGTTGTACTTCAACACAAAGTTCTTATGACATATTGCTTAAAAAAGGCCATCTTAGCTGTTTCTCCAAGAAGTTAATATTGTTGATCTTTTTTATTGTTTGCGTTGATTGTATTTGTTTATATCAGTAAATTAGAGGGTCTAAATATGTGACGGTCTTCTGTTGCACTAGCAAAGTTCTCATCACATTTTTTTTTTTTTTTTTTTTTTAAGAAATAAATGTCTATTTGGGGATGGGGCTATTTCTGATTATCTAAAGCACACCGTTACGCTAGATTCCACACGAAGTTCTCATTACATATTGTATCATAAAAGTCATCTCCCCTGTGTGGGTTCCGGGGCCCCATTGTGGGGAAAACAAGAATAGACCCACTGCCTCCCCAAAAGCATGTTGTAAGAGTCAACTAATTGGGGAGCTTCCTTTGAAGACGGAGTGCGTCTGCCGGAGAGGCAAGGAACCAACAGTCTGTATTCAAGAGAATGAGATCTGTAAAACTGACGCACACGCAACACTCAGGTTCTGGAGCAGGACTGCAGTTCAGTAGTAGACGAGCAACCAGAACCTTCCGCCAGAGTTTACAGCTGGTGAACGCGAAGAAGAAGAAGATAAAGGTCATCTCAACTGTTTTCCCACGGAGTTGACATTGTTGATCTTTTTCTTGCTTATGCTGAGTGTGTTTATGTTGTTTAGGACGAGAATTGAGAATACCAACACGTACATCGACAGGGGCTACTTCTGACAATCTCAATCAATCAGTCAGTCAAGCAGGTGTCGTCTCCACAGTGAAGGTTGACTGCAATGATTCTCCAACACGCTCTGTCTCTTGTCCTGGTCTGACCATCTAAAGCCTCTTGAGGCTTTTGTTGTATTTTGTAACATACAGAACATCTTAACCAGGGCTTTTTTTAATAGACAAAAATGGGTGCCAGTACGTACCTCGATTGGCACCTTTCCGTCTTTTCAGGCAATAGTATTTTATTGCGCTATGAGGAGACATGAGACTCACAGCCCCTGGCGATGGCGAGCGTGACTAGCAAGACCAGCCCGAGTCAAGAAAAGTCTTCCACAATTGATGAAGTTCGTTCTTTCCATTGCACAAAGCCTGGATGGGCAGTTTTGTAGAGACGAAATATTGCCCATGCATCATGATCCCTCGCTCAACCTGCCTTGTTTACTCCAAAGGAAAGGTAACACCAGTACGTTTGGAACAAAGCAGGCTGCAGACGTAGCCGGGTCAGAAGAGTAGTGCTCTATCTGTCTGGGTCACCGAACTCTAATCGGCCTTGCTGGTGCGGAATCGTGATTCAGGCCTGTGACAATCTATTTTATTCACACTAAACCGAACGCTTCCTGGAGCACACACAACAATCTTTAATGAATAATCATAGAACAATATAAGACAGTTAACGTCGAAAGATGTAGGCACCCTTATCCGAGACGCGTGGTCGTGCTGACTTTAATATTCGCCAAGCAAGCCTCCCATCCCCGTTGATAATTCTCAGGTTTCCCCACACTGCAAAGCTCTTATTCAAATAAGCCTGGACCCCACCAGGATCAAGCAGTGCCCGCAGAGTGCATGGCCAGTATGCCAGAATAGATAACATCGCACTAACCATTCCAAAATCAACCCTAACAATATGAATACCTGGGCGCTTCTCACAAAATACATTACGACAAAAACACCTGTTACTGTCGGTCACTATACACCACAAAGAAGCTATACTACCCTATCGATATACATTATCATAATCTATTCGGTCACTAAAATATTTATATAACACGCTAAATTATAACTGTCTAAAACTTTCTCAGGGCTCCTGCCCGCTGTATCCAGTATTATCATGTATCTTCAAAATGATGGGCAATCAGACAGTTACTGGAACATCCAGAATGTTAACTCTTCGCTTGATGCTGAAGATGGGGACGAAGCGCTTATGGGGGGGGGGGGGGTCCCGAGTGCTGTGATGTCGATTCCTAATTCAACATTCATAATTATAGAGCCTTTATAGTCCTTTACAACCCATCGCTCTCGTAGTGGCGCATGAAAGTCTCTCTTTCTCTAGTAAATTCTCCAACCCTATGTACTTTCATAGCCAGTGTATCTTCAGTGTCGTGTATATCCCATTCACAGAGTCTGACTGTCGACACGTACCGGCACGGCTCACAATGGTGCTGCCTACAATTACGTGGATCAGTCTATGTGTCCCACCATGTGCAGCTTCCTTCCGTCGCCTGGTAGCAGGGTTGCCAATTCTATACTTTTAATGCCAAATTTTATAAATTTGGCAATTTTTGAAAGCGGGTGGCAAAAAAAAAAACGGCGTTTTTTTTCCTTCAAAGTCGGAGTACATTTGCCTGAGGCAAGGAACCAACAGTCTGCATGCAAATATCTCAGATCTGTTAAACAGATGTACACTAAACTCTCAGTTTCTGGAACAGGACTAGAGTCCAGAAGTGGACGAACAACCAGACTTTTTACGCCAGAAAGAAGAAGACAGATTTGTGATATTTTCCCTGGGTCTGAAGGCAGTGCTTGGTGGCTCTATATTGTTCACGGCTGAGAAGGATTCATTTCATTTTCGTGCCAGGATATGTGGGGGTACAAGGAAATGAGCAAGCTGACAGACTTGCAGTTAAGGCTGCTGTGAAAGCCGGACAAGCAAATGAATGCTCTACTAGATTCGAGACGTTTGCGTGAACCAGTTGAGAACTGTGAATCTTAACCATTTTCAGACTGCAAGAACAGTGAAGTGTCGGGGGGGGGGGGGATGTAACATTCGTTGATGAGCTCTGTCAAGAGCATTTTAAGACTGATGTTCATTTCTGTAAGGCTGTTCTTAATGCCATCACTCCATATTTTCTGGAAATAAGGCCAGTCTTACAGGTCATTAAAGAACAAATTAAGTGGTTTGGACACCTAACAAGGATGCCCTGATACAATCTGTTACAATGAGTATAGAGCGAGAGGAAGACCTCGGAAAATATGGAGTGATGGCATTAAGAACAGCCTTACAGAAATTACCATTGCAATCTCTCCCCCCCCCCCCCCCTTCCGATACTTCGATGAGGTACGTGTGGAATAGAAGAAGAAGAAGAGTAAGAAGAAGAAGAAGAAGAAGAAGAAGAAGAAGAAGAAGAAGAAGAAGAAGAAGAAGAAGAAGAAGAAGAAGAAGAAGAAGAAGAAGAAGAAGAAGAAGAAGAAAAAGAAGAAGAAAAAGAAAAAGAAAGAAGAAGAAGAAGACAATACAATTATCACAATTTTTTAAAAGTACAATTCAAACATATTGAGTGTTATAATCCATATACTCCTACAATCATATACAGTCAGTACATACCAGACATAATCTATGCAATATTACACAATCAAAGGTAACTAATAAGCATAAAAAACCAATACTGAGAATAAAAACACGATATATTCCAATTATAGCCCAGATGTGTTGAACAGGATATTGTTGTTTAAATTACTACTACTGCGGGGAGGCGGGTGGCATTAGGAACAACCTTACAGAAATTAATATCAATCTTAATAGTGCTCTTGACAGATCTTATCAACGAATGTTACCCCCCCCCCCCCGACACTTCGATAAGGTACAAGGTGAAAGAGAAGAAGAACAGAAAGTGTCGTTTTTTAGGTAGGCTCAAACTTTCTCGTCGATACTGAAAGAGTGGGTGGGAAGAGGAAGGGGGGGGGGGTGTCCATTGGGACCAAGGACATTAGTATTGCTTGGGCGGTCTGTGAAACCTAAAAAAAAAAAAAAAAAAATACGACACTGTCCCGGTCATATGGTCATCCTATATTTGCAATAACTTTAGGATAACTTTGTCTACTGACAAAGTGTATGATGCTGATTTCAATGGGGACCATAGTGGTGACCTTAATTTCGAGCTTTCATTCATCATCATTGTCATCATTAGTTACCACTTCTTCCGTTAAACGTCGTGGGGAGGAATAGGTTGCTTGATGGGCAGTTTGGCTATTGACATTCAGTGTTGATTCAGAAGTTCTTTAATTACATCAATTCATAACCTCCAAGGACAGCCTCTTGCTTGGAACTTTTATTATGAGTATGAATTTGTCCGTAAATCTCTTTTGGCATTTTTTGGTGGCAATTTCTAGCCAGTGTTTGGCAGATTTTCTAAATTTTGATCTGGCAACCCTGCCAGGGGAGGTAAGTCCGGCGTGCGTCTGCTAGCTCCAGCAGATACAAAATAAAAATAAAATGGTCTTGGTGTTATTTCTGGTTGCCTCTGTGTTAACTTTAGTTTCATATCTCACACTGAAATATGTACACGGTGTTCAGGATGCTCCATATATGGATGAAATATTTCATATTCCGCAAGCACAGCAGTACTGCTCGTACAATTTTTCTTCAGTAAGTCATTCATCACGTAGAAATAGATCTCCAGGGTTTGAGTAGTGCAAGGAAAAAGCTAATAAATTATGACATGAATATTATGAAAACTCAATCCATTTGTACAGTGCAGACACTTCGATAACGAATAAATAACTGGAAAACCGAACTGAGTCTCTGGAGATGTGGACACACAAAAGACTACTTGTAGTTCACAATCAAATAAGAGGTTATCTTTCTAGGGAAAAGAAGTGATCGGCGAGTTTTAAAAAAATTCGCCAAAATTTTTAATAAAAACATTTACATATTTCGACAACATTAAATTAGACACAACGCTGTTTTAAAATCCACACTAGAAGGAAAGGTTAAAGGCAAGATATAGACAGTGATACAGGGGGAGGGGGGAGGAGATAACAATGAAGAGATGGGCGAACGACAGCAGTCTGAGACAGTGTACTGTCAGAACAAGTGAGTATCAGCTGTGAGGTAATGAACCAACAGTCTGCATACAAAAAAGGCATATCTGTAAAATAGATGTGCACACTAAGTAAGTAAGTTCTGAAACAAGTGAACGAGCAACAAGAACTTTCCTCCAGAGTTTGCAGCTGGTGATTTCGAAGAAGATGATGAAATTACTACTAATGCTACTTTTGAAAAAAAGTTAAGGTCTCTTTACACGCCATTAGGCATATTAGGCTAGACTTATATTTGTATAAACGGATCAACCCTCAATGGGTTATGTGGTCAGCATTACACTGATTGCCTTTACTTCCCAGGACTTTACCTCTTACCTATTTGAGACCAGGTCAAAATGGGAGCTAAGGTCGTGTTTGAAAATAATCCTGTGCCATGCAGATTTGAACACACGACCAACGGATCTGCAGGTGGGCATCTAACCACTACACCGCGGCTGCTGCCACTAATGGTACTATTGTTACTGAATATTTTTAAAGCTGCTCACATTCATAAATGCACATGTTTGTAATCTGCAGTGGGATCCAATGATCACCACATTGCCAGGGCTCTATGTGTTCTCCGTGATTCAGCTGCTGCCTGTGGCAAGTTTCCGAGGTGCTAGATTGGCTGAACTTTGCACAACATTTAATCTCCGAGCCAGTAATGTGACATACTGCATTGGCAATTTTATCTTGCTGTTTGTACTGACCAGACAGTTAACGGGAAATGCCAAGGTAATGTATTGTTTTAATTCTCATGACAAATTAGTACTGTACAATTCAAATATCAGGGAACAATCAGATGGAAAATGTGTGACAGAGATTAAAAGCAGAATAGGTCAAGCGAGAGCTGCATTTCAGAAAATGAAAAATATTTTATGCAATAAATGGCTCTCATTTAATGTCAGAATGAGGGTGCTAAAATGTTACATAGAATCTGTTCTGCTGTATGCCAGTGAATCTTGGAATGTCAGTGAACAAATTTGGAAGCAACAGAGATGTGGTTTCTGAGACAAATGTTATGAATACTTTGGACAGCCAGAGTAACTAACAACGATTGCTTGAAAGAAGCTAATGAAAGTAGATCTCTATATACAACAATAAGAAAGAGACAAACACTGTTCTTTGGGCACATAATGAGAAGAGAGACATTGGAGAACATTGTGACAACTGGAAAGATCAGTGGAAAAAGAGGTAGAGGCCGACCAAGAGAGATAGTGCTGGATGGGCTGCAACGATGGCATGGAGGGATATCATCAAGAGAGCTGTTCCAGGCAACCAGGGATCGTGATTTGTGGAGATGCTTGAGCCCCTACGCCAGTTGACTGGGGACATGATGATGATGATGATGATGAATGGAGCCGAAACATGGTGAACAGCAAAGGTAATTACTAATAAGCTACAAATATTAATTAACTGGTGCCTGTGCAGAATAGAGTGAATTAAACGGTTTGATAGAATCACTCATGTAGAGCTTTGGGAGAGAACTAAACAAGTTCCAGTGGACTAAGAGGTGAAGAAAAGTTGCTGGCACTGGATAAGATACACGTTGAGAAAACCTGAGAATAGTATAACTAGTGTGTCTTTGCACTGGAACCCACAGGAAGCAAAGAAATAAAGGAAGACTAAAAAACACTTGGAGAAGAAAGCTAGAGAGTGAAGTTAAAAAGATAGGGAGGACATGATGAGAAATGCATGTGATAGCAAAGGATAGAACTGTTTGGCGTTAGGTGGTTGGGGGTCTATGCCCTATTGGGTGATAGAAAGCAGAAGAAGAAGAATGTATTGTAAAATGTTACTTCTGCATATTTATAGTAAATTTGCAGCCCTTTTGAGGTTTTCCTTGTCTCTATACAATTTCTCAGTGTGGATTCTGGGGCCCTATTGTAAGGAAAACAAGAATAAGACCCATTGCCTAACCAGAAGCATGTTGTAAGAGTCGATTAATTGGGAGCTTCCTTTGAAGTCAGTGCATCTGCCTGAGAGGCAAGGAACCTACAGTCTGTGCACAAATGAGTCAGATCTGTAAAATGGATGCGCACACAACACTCAGGTTCTGGAAGAGGACAGCAGTGCAGAAGTGGGCGAACAAACAGAACTTACTGCCGGAGTTAGCGGCCGGCGAATGCAAAGTTACCACCGGAGTTAACGGCGGGTTTATGCAAAGTTACCGCCAGAGTTATCGGCCAGTGAATGCAAAGAAGAAGAAAACTATAAAATTTTTCATTTGTTTTTTGCTGCCCCATTTAGTGGGGGGGGGGGGGGGGGAGGGAAGGTGAAATGGACTCACTGTCCCCTTAACAAGCATGTTATAGAAGTCAACTAATTACAGTTTTTCCAGTGAAATTGGAGTACGTCTGCGTGAAAAAGAGGAGCCAACAGTCTGCGTACAAATAAGGCAGATCTGTAAAATGGATGTGCACACAAAACACATGTTCTGGATCAAGATCAAAGTCTAGAAGTGGATTAACAACCAGAACTTTCTGCCGGAGTTTACAACCGGTGAATGCTAAGAAGAAAAAGATTCAATACATTTTATTGTGAAACCCGTATGATTTGTTTTTGCATTAAATAGCCAAAAGTATTTGACACATAAACGTCCAGTACCTGAAAAGACAAACACTCGGTATATTCCATTTATAACCCAGACAGGTTGAACAGGTTATTTTGATATTACTGCTACATACTGCTGCTACTACTACTACCACCACCATTACTACTGCTACTGAAACAACCACTACAGCTTCTACTACTACTACTACAAACACGTCTACTACTACTGCTGCTACTATTAACACAACCACTACAGCTTTTACTGCTACTAACACAACTACTATAGCTACTATACTGACACATTTGCTACTTCTGGTACATTTATTACTACTACTTCTGCTACAACTACTACTACTACTACTGCTACAACTACTACTACTACTATTACTACTACTTTTGCTACAACTACTACTACTACTTCTGCTACAACTACTACTACTACTATTACTACTACTTTTGCTACAACTACAACTACTACTTCTGCTACAACAACAACTACTACTACTACAACAACTACTACTTCTGCTACAACAACAACAACAACAACAACTACTACTACTACTGCTACAACTATTAGTACTTCTGCTACAACAACAACTACTACTACTACAACTACTACTACTTCTGCTACAACTACAACTACTACTACTACTACTACTACTACTACTACCACCATCACCATTACTACTGCTGCTGCTGTTCATCATCAGGTGACTTGCTGACTGGCGTGGGTGATCATGCCTCTCCACAATTCCTTCATCATGTATCAGTTCGTGTGCTGACACACCTCCATGCCATGCAACAAGACTGTCAAGAATCTTCTCTCGTCTTTCTCTATCCCTTCTTCCACAGATCTTTTCAGTGGTCACAACATGTTCTGTTTTCCCTCTGTTCATAACATGGCCGAAAAAAGATGTCTGTCTCCTTCTGTTGTCTGTGATAAGTTGTCTTCGGCCTCCCGCCTCTTACAAAACCTCTTGATTGCTCTTTTTGGCTGCTGCTGTTACTACTACTGAAACAACTACTACAGATTCTACTACTACTAAAAACACATCTACTACTACTACTACTCCTGCTGCTTCTACTGCTGATATAGCTATTACTGCTGCTGCTGCTGCTACTACTAACACAACCACTACAGCTTTTACTGCTGCTAACACAACTACTACAGATACCATACTGACACATCTACTACTACTGGTACATCTATTACTACCACTACTGCTACTACTAACACTACTACTATTACTATACTATTACTACTACTACAACAACTACAACTACTTCTTTTACTACCACCAGCAGTCATTAGATTGTTTCCATTTACTTAGATGTTAAATATATATTGATTTATTATATGTTTCATTTTTGTATTTTTATTTCAGAGAACCCATCTTCTGCAAGTTCTAAATGCCGCTGTCCTGACACTGTTTCCGGTTCTGTACTTCTTCACTTGGCTCTACTACACGGATCCTGGTGCCACATTTTTCGTTCTGCTGATGTATGCTCTTTGTCTCCGTGGATACCATAAATCCGCAGCAATGGCAGGAGCTGCAGCAGTTCTCTTCAGACAAACCAATATCATTTGGGTCTTGTTCTGCACTGGCGTAGTTGCAATTGAGGTCATCAACGAGCGGCTGAGACTTGACAAAAAATGGCATGGCAACCCAAACAATATGTCTGACAAGGATTTTGTAGAAATTCTGTTTCAGACAACATTTTCCAGCTGTGCTAGATTTTTTAGTTTAGTTAAACAAATTTTGATTCAGACATTTTGTTATTTATGTATAATTGTAGGTTTCATTGTCTTTCTTGTTGTTAACAAAGGTATTGTTGTTGGAGATAGGTCACATCATACGGCATCATATAACTTTCCTCAGGTTTTCTATTTTTTAGCTGTGTCTGCAGGTTTTTCTTTCATGCATTTAAGCCAACCCTCACAAGTCATTGCTTTTGTGAAATCTGCTGTTAAAAACCCAATAAAGATATTGTTGTTTGCTGTTTTGGCCGGACTGCTAATTAAATTATTCACTTGCGAACACAAATATCTGCTGAGTGATAACAGGCACTACACATTTTATGTTTGGTCTAAAATATTTAAAAGGCACCAGCTGGCAAGATATGCCCTCATCCCTGTATACTTTTTCAGTTTATATCAGTTTTATAATTTGACTTCTCACAGAGGATTTCTCTGGCGAGTAGTTTTCTCAGTTTGTACTATTGCCTGTTTGGTCCCACAAGCTCTTTTGGAATTTCGATATTACATTGTTCCATTTTATATTTTACGACTCAATATGAAACTCCCGACTGCAAAAATGCTGATAGCAGAATTGTTTTTATATGTGTTCATTAATTCATTCACAGTATATATGTTTACTCAGAAACCTTTTGTATGGCCTGAGGACCCATCCCCTCAGAGATTTATGTGGTAAAAAGTTTTGGGGCGGTTAGAAGTATAATGTTCATATTTTCCCTGTGTGGGTTCTTGAACCCCATTTTGGGGAGAAAGAGAAGACACACTAACAAGCATGTCATAAAAAGTGACAAATTAGAGGGTTTAGGTTTAAATGACGGTCTAACATCATGGCACAAGGGTAGTAACCCATAAGTGCTTCGTTCTACTTCTGACTCGAGCCTGAGTCCGAAGAATCTCAGCACATCCACGTTTAAACTCCAAATTTTGCCCAAGCAGCGCCGTTAGGCGACTCTGTTTCGATTTCCAGCCGCCAAGGGATTTTTTAAAATGTGCACAACAATACACACGAGTGTCCGATCCTACTACCCAGAGACCAGGGGAAATTACTAGAAGTCCACATGAAAAAAATCAGATGTGCTCAAGTTTTGGAACAAGACTAAAGAAGATTGCATCTGACTGTTGGTAAATTTAGGCAGTAAATGGTTTCCTGTTGTGTGTATCTGTAGCAAAAAAAATTTTTCCAGAGGGGTATCTGGCTCCTGCCCAACTCTTCTCCTTTCTCATCCGGGTTTAGGACCCAGAATGGCAAACTTTGCATGTATTTACAGCATGCAGTGTGAATCTGTTAAATCACAGCATCTGTTTACAGGCTTGGGAACCGAGATTGGCAAACTTTGCATGTATTTACAGCATGCAGTGTGAATCTGTTAAATCACAGCATCTGTTTACAGGCTTGGGAACCGAGAATGGCAAACTTTGCATGTATTTACAGTATGCTGGGTGTGTTAACCTGTTACATGCTCATCATCATGTGCCTTGCCAGCTGGCGTGGGCGCTCCAGCATCATATCTCTTGGTCTGCCTCTACTCCTTTTTCCACTTATCTTCCAGTTGTCATGATGTTCTCCAATGTCTCTCTTCTCATTATGTGGCCAAAAAACAGCTTTTGTCTCATTCTTATTGTTGTATATAGAGATCTACTTAAGCAATCGTTGTTAGTTACTCTGGCCATCCAAGGTATTCGTAGCATTCGTTACAGAAACCACATCTCTGCTGCTTCCAAATTTTTCTTAATTAGCATGTATTTACAGTATGCTGGGTATGTTAATCTGTTACAATCACAACATGTGTGTGCAGTTGGTTTTCAAGCCAGCAGAAAACTGCTGTGACTGCCTTCACCTCAGTTTTCAAATTAGATGTTTAAACTTTTGAAATTGAATGTTATAGGAATGTACAAAAGTGGTTTCCTCTTGCTTTCCATTAGTTTATGCACATTTCATCAGTACCACCTTCATTTGTCTGTCGAATATATATCTGTAAAACAGCAGGGTGGGATGGAGAGATTCATCCTCATCATCAAGTGCCTTGTCGGCTGGCACTGGTCATCATGCCTCTCCACAACCTGTAATCTAGAACGACATTCGTCAGTTCATGTGCCGACACTGCCCTACATGTTCCACTTTTTCTCTTCTCATAACATGGCCAGAAATGATGACCATCTCCTTTGTGCATAGACTACTATAGAGATTAAATCGCCCATTATCAACTGAAGACCATATCATGGCGTTTTCATATATTGTATTAAGAGGGTAAGGGATAAATAAATAAATGACTTTTTACAATGTTTTCATTTGTTTTTGCTTTTGTATTATTGTTATTTCAGTTTTCAAGGCTTTTACATCAATAAGGCGTTTTTTAAAAGTTAAACTTGAGAAGATCCACTTCATTTCACTAGGTTTTATCCCATATGGCTCGACGGTCTCTCTCCGAAGAACACAAACTCCTTAGCTCCGGCTATGATCCCCAGGGATCTCCATAAAGACTGCACTCGTGAACTGAAGGGCACAGCAAAAGGCATTTTAATGATATGGTAACCAAAGGACCTTTTTATGCCAGTGGCACATCGGGCATAGTATACTAGACTCATATTTGTACAGACCAGCTGGCTCTCAGTGGGTGATGTGGTCACCATCATTCCACGGCTTGATTTGCCAGGATAATACCTGGCACCTGTTTTAGGCTGGGTCAACATGGGAGCAAAAGGCCAGTTTTGTGCGGCAGAAAAAATATTTAAAAAAAAGGCCATACAAACCCGAGTGGATCAGTCACAGTTAAGATGGTTTGGACATGTGTGCAGAATGGGATAAAATTGGCCACCATGGCAGGCACGGGAGGCTAAGAACCAGAACTCTGGGGGCCACCTAGGGTCCGCTGGGAAGACAACAACTGACAGTCCCTAACTGACAAGGACTGGAATGGAACAAAGCCAGAAAAAAAAAAACTGCTGTTAGAGAAGTCTGGCGATCTCTCTGGCAAACTTCTACACCCCAAGGTAGACGAGCGACTAAATAAGTAAGTACCCCAAAAAAAAAAATAACATCTGCCCAGTGCGGATTGGAACTTAAGACCTTCAGGTCAGCAGGCAAGTCACTACTTTACCATAAGTCCCTTTATTGTTTGGTGGTGGGTCACTATCTTTTTGGTAACAGAATGTCATTCAGCCCTTTTGTCTGTATATTCCTGGCACCCATACTCAGTCCACCTTAGGACTGTACTTGCTATGGGTAACATTTCTGATCTTCTTCTTTTCTTTTCTTTTTACAGTTACCTCATTGAAGTGTTGAGGTGGAAAGGAAAGGGGGAGTGAGTTGCGGATCTTTTGTGTGCTATTTCTAATGTTCTTTCTTCACTCCATCTTTTGCATGGTTTTTCCCTTGCCCTGTTTTCACTTTATCTCTTCAGCGTCGATCTCTGTGGCATTTCTGACCACCTGTGTGAACTGAACTCTGGATGATGACATGCTCAACTGCCACATGTATAAAATTAAGACTAAACAGTGCATGTCAGACAGGACTACAAACATTTGAGCCCATTCTGCAGACCTGCCCACTTACACCTAGGAAGAGACACCTGGCCTCAAGAGCAAAGTGTGCAGATCAAGCTATAGGGAACCATGGAGGACCTGCAGCTGACATGTGAGTTCACAGAGGCAACCCACCTGAGCATATGAAACCAAACGAAAAGAAAAATAACTCTGAATTACTTTACTTGTTAAAATAAAAAAGTTAAGGATCCTTCTGAAGCCAGTGCCACCCCAGGCACATGGTGCTAGACCAATGATTTCATAGGCCAGTCGGCACTTAATGGCCTTAGTCCAGGTTTCAACTTCACTTGACTACAATTGGGTCACCCCATACTTGCTTTGTCCCTGTACCAGTGAAAATCAAATTAAATGTCCCTCGCTGTCACATGTGAAAAACAAGAACAAACAATTAGTCCCGGCACAATCCACATATATGCACACCCAGTAAATGCATGTGGCAGTTGCTAGAGGTGTTGATAGAAGTAGTTAGTTACAGTAATTTGGCTACACGTAAAATTATTACATAAGGTATTTCACCAGGCACAGGTAAATGGCTGCCGGCCATATTGGATACCACGACTTAACCGCTGCACAAATAAAGGCATTCAACATGAAAAACAGCTCACAGTGCTGCAATAAGCACTTAACTCAGTAGCTTACCACCGTCTATATGTGGAAACCACATTAGCAAAGTGCTGTCGGAGCAAAAATAACTTTGAAGCTAAACATTCTACCATGCCCAGTCCTCCACATTTCACCAGATGTTGATGGATGTTGTCTTCAACATCACTAGGCTGCCTTGGCTTCCCATGACATTTTCTGGTACCAATTTTAGACTGGGCCGCCTTTAGACAAGGTCAACTTCTTTAATGGTACTGCCTGCATTTATCACTGTTACAACGTCTCCTTTGCAAAGTCAAGCCATATTCTTCTTCTTCTTTTGTGTTCACGATTAGAAGGTTCGCATACTGAGTTGTAGTTCACAGCTAGGCTGCGATATCTGTGCCTTTCAGCCCAACACATCCGATTACAGCAAACTCTTAATTATTCACCTTTTACAGTACTTGTTAAGGAGCACGGGGTGTGACCCCCCCCCCCCCCCAATATGGGGCCCTCAGAAACCACACTTGTAAAATCATATAATACATTATTTACACATCAGAACAGAGGTAAAAACATTTTGTAGTCCCACATTTTTTTAATGTAACATCAAAAACAAAGCATTTTATACATGTGTAATATTAAGTTTCAGTTTGATTGCCACTGAACATTCCCACAAACGTACAAGTGATTGCCACTGAACATTCCCACAAACGTACAAGAAGTATGTACATAAAAGTGGCAAACTTGTGTTAAAAAAATATATAATGTACAAACTTGAATACCGTCTGTTATTTCTCTTATATTCCGCTTCACAATGTAAAATCCACCAACGCTGTACATTTGTGCCAATGCAAAATCAGTGTTCTGAAACCTGTTGGTATATTTCCATCTTTCTGGGTGATAGTGTTCCATTAGGTGGACAACAAATCAAATGGTTTGACCATGTAACAAGATTGGCAGCAGACAGGGCATCATAGAGAGCAGTGTTATACAGATACAAGAGTAACAACAGAGCCAAAGATCAACCATGCAAAAGATAGAAGCGCAGAAATATCAGACACTAAAAAGTACTTTATACGAAGCAAACAGAAGGGCTCATTCCAGAGATCTCTTCCTGCCCTGATGCGGCGAGACATTCCAGGAGTAGAGAAAAGAAGAAGAAGTGTTCCACTGTGCTATAGGAAGGCATAGGAACTACAGGCCATGGTGATAACCAGTTAAGGCCAGAGTGATAACCAATTAAGGCCTGGGTGATAATCAGTTAAAGCCAGGGTGATAATCAACTAAGGCCAGGGTGATAACCAGTTAATGACAGGGTGATAACCAATAAGGGCCAGGGTGATAACCAGTTGAGGCCAGGGTGAGAACCAGTTAAGGCCATGGTGATAACCAGTTAAGGCCAGGATGATAACCAAGGCTAGGGATAAAGTTCTTCACAGTACAAAGCCTGGGCAGTATTGCAGAGACCAGAAGTCGCTCATGCATTAAGATTCCTTCCTCGGTCTGCCTTGTTAACTTCAAAGAAAAGGTAAGACTAATATGCTTGGAGGAAAAGCCCTGTTCATATAGTATTTGTGCGGATCCAGTACTTCACACTCAAGTAGCAGTTTGTTGTGGGATTACTTTCTTCTTCTGCATTTCTAACCCCCAATGGAGCATAGGTCCTCAACCAACTCAAGCCAACTTCTTCGATCCTTTGCAATAGCATGCAGCTTTCCCATTCTCCCCATCTTTTGACCTTCGCTCTGGGATTACTTTATTGACACGTCTGCGAAATTTGGTCCCCAGAAATAATGTAATCTGAAGTCAATGACGGCACACCAATAAGATCTTCCTTGATAAATAAAGGTATCTTTTCCACACCTCCGAGTGTACGGGGCATATAGGGCCAGACCAATATTTTATAAAACAACTGGCACTTGGTGGGTGATGTGGTCAACATCACGCTGAACGCCTTTACTTCTCAGGACTTTACCTGGTATCCTCCTCTATAAATGAACACATCTCCTCTATAAATGAATACATCTTTTGAATTCCTAATATGTTTGCATGTCCTGAGAGTAAAGCCTGGTGAAGCATGTCTATGCCATCTTTAAGGCCAAGGTAGGGGACATTATGTCCAAGTTCTCATGGAAACAATAAGTAGAAGTACCCTGGAAAGGCTGCTGCGTGGGAAGACTGAGCACACACTGGAATACACTGTGTGTTGTGATACTGATTGTGATAACATAACATAATAAAGGGCATATGTTTAATGACTGCAGACTTTTTGAAATCTATTATTTGTGCACTGTAGTTAAATTTGTGTATTACATCATGTTTCAAGTGCCATGTGAATGTTAGTTTAGAATATCACTGCTACATATCAGTGTCTTAGTAACTGATCACAGCCATAATGGTATTTTTGGTACGGCATGTGTTCCTTAACGGTGGCAGGTATTCGAATGTGGATGCTGAACAATTTATAATGTCATTTCATGATACTCCTGTGCCTTATTCTAACAGATAGCAATTTAACCAGTAGAATCAATTGCGAACAGAACTGTTTTGTAGGAAAACAGTACCCAAATTAAAACACACTATATATTGCATTAACTCCTATACGACAATTCACGCTCAGGTGATCTGATTATCTATACATATGGTTCGGCGTTGAGAGGAAAGAGAAGTGCCTGGGGGTTAGTAGTGAAAGCCAATGGAAAATCTTTAGTGCAAAACAGCCTAGCATACAACATTACAACATCTAGCATGAGAATGGAGGTGGAGGCGGTAACTGCAGCACTCTGTTGGCTAGAGAACAAGATACATACACATGTTGTAATTGTAACAGACTCTAAAAGCATGCTGAGAAAAGTGAAGACAGGAAGGCTTTGAGCAGAGTGGCAAGCTTCACTGGGAAGGTCACAGGTAGTGAGCATACTTTGGATGTTTTCTCCAGGCAACGCCGGTGTAGTGGGTAATGAACAGGCAGACAGATTGGCTGGATCTGCATCACTGGGTGATGAACTGATACATGACAAGGCAGATGTGGTCAAGGCCCTGTGGGAACAAGCAACGGAATCAGTAGAGAAACAAGATTATTACGGCCTAGGGAGAATGAGGCACCTGGGTGTAACCAGAGGGTCTGGCCGGCTCACTATACTCAGAGAAATGGCAAGACAGACATATAACCAGATTGTGACTGGTACTCTCAGTGTTGGAACTCTGCGCTACCTGCTGAAGATGAGGATGGAGCACACATGGAAATGCCCTGAGTGCTGTGACTCAACTCAACTCCTAGACGGTGATTACAAAATTCGGAACAACTATAATTTCAACAACAAAAAAACCAGTCAGTTATACTACCTCTACATCACCATAAAACCGCAAATGACAAATACAAGAAAGAACCATTAATGAAATCCCCACACATTTTCAACAATATTTCATCACAGATGAGTGGTCCCTTAGATAACATTCAGAACATAATTTAAAACAACAAATTAGGGTACGATAATTCCCCAAGACATGAAATAATGCAACTTAACATGAAATACAGTGGTAGGTGGCTGTGTGGTCTTGAGGCATGGTGTCTGCCTCGAGTTCTAGAGGTTCCAGGTTCAATCCCCGGCAATTCCCCCTAGTCTCTGGGTAGTGAGATCGGACTACTTTAGGTAGATTTTCAACTCCAAATTTTGCCCGGGCAGCACTATTAGGTTACTTTTTTGGATTTCCAAATGCCAAGGTTTTTTTCACGTGTGCAACAATGCACAGAGGGGTCCGATCATACTACCTAGAGACGGGGAATCACTAGAAGTCCAAGTCCATGTGAAAAATCCCAGCCCTTACCAGGGACTGAACCCGGAAACCATGCCCCGAGACCATGCAGCTCCCACTACCATGGATCAAGAAGAGGAAAAACACAGACATTCTAAACGAGTTGAGCATGGGGGAGAACTGGCTCATTAACAGCATCCTGTCCCGAAAGTTGAAGTATTTTGGCCACATCAAGCATCATGGTGGCTTGGAAAAGATGGTGATGGATGGTGCAGTTTTATGAAGGCGAAGCAGGGGTCGACCACCGCAAAGATGGATACAGGACATTGAAGAAGCATTGGCATTGAAGGCACATGAGGCCAGAGAGCTGGCTAGGGAAAGGGATACTTTCAGGCGTGCTGTGAAGAGAGCGCCGTTCTGTAAAGGACTTGCTGATTGATGATGATTTTAACCATCAGAGCTTGTTACACAATCCTCATGTAGCAGGTCCTTTGCAGAAAGTCGCTCTCATCGTGGTCTGTCTGAAAGAGACAGTCTTCTTCTTTGTTCACCAGCTGTAAGCTCTGATGGAAGGTCCTGATTGTTCGCTCATTTGGACTTTGGCTTTGTGTCAGGGACTGAGTTATGCGTGTGCATCCGTTTTGCTGGTTTATTTGTGTACAGCTGGTTGTACCTTGCCTCTCAGGCAAATATACTCCAACTTCAAAGGAAGATCCCCATTAGTCGACTCTTACGACATGCTTGCTGAGGAGGCAGTGGGTCTATTCTTGTTTTCCCCCATAATAGGACCCCGCAACCAACACGGGAAGGACACAATTTCTCTTCAGCTCTCCCGCCTTGTGCACTTTCCTACCCAAGGTGTCTCTTATATCCTGTGCTCATCTTCACGCTGGTTGGCCCCTGTCCCTCTTTCTAGGCCTTCTGTTACTATTCAGTCCAATCTGTTGTGGCACTTGATTGGCTAAATAGTTCCATTTCCAAGCCAAAATGCTGATTATTAGCCAATCTTTTTTGATGCCGAAATCTTTTAGTATGTTTCTATTTCTGTTCTTCTTTAGCCAAGTTATTCTGAGAGCATGTTACAGGTATCATAAATAGATCACAATTATTTTTTACATTATATTTTTATAAAATAACATATTCTGAGATCCTACACAACCAAAATAATTCTATAAAAATATTTATCATTAATTTGCTTTGCTGGTAACGGTTTCAACCTTTAGTTTCTCTGAGTGACTCAAATAAGCTTTCAAGGCCACTGACATTTCTTGCTGGGTAAACAGTTTAGAACACAACAGCCCTCGTATAAGTTCATCTCTGGCGTTTCCAGCAAACTGGTTAGCGAGGAATGCAGGAAATCCTCTCACACCATCACCCATGGTAAACAGTGGAACTCTCACGACACCATACGTCTGAAATGCAATAATGTGTAACAGAATGTTAATACTGCTAGGAAGTTAGGTACACTATCCCTTTACACACACTAGATTTTCAGTACTTCCTATTCCCCGTGTGGGTTCCGGCTCCCATTGTGGGGAAAACAAGAGTAGACCCATTGCCTTTCCAACAAGCATGTCATAGAAATGACTAAATGGGAGCTTTCTTCAAAATCGGAATGCATCTGCCTGAGAGGCAAGGAACAACCAGCTGCACACAAATAAGCCAGTAAAATGGAAGTACACGCAAAACTCAGTGTTGTAATCTTATTGGCCAAGAGTAAGTTTCTTCTAGTGGTCACAGCACAGGTGAAAAGTTCACACAGTGGCCACGGGTCGTTACCTAGGATACGAGCTTATTGAATGCTGGGCGATGAACACAAAGGCCCAAGCAGTTGTGATATTTCCCTTGTCCAAGTGAGACCTGTTTCCGCGGGGTTAGCGGAACATTGTGTTGGGCTTTCTGATATGAGAATATTATAAAACGTTTCCTCTTTGTGAGGTTTTGATTTACCGTTGTTTGCGGGAGACAGTTCAATGTCTATTTAATTATTAGAATGGAAGGAGTCCATTGAGAAAGATCGTTATATCAGCAGAGTAGATAATAGAGATTTATTATCGTACCTGTTTTAAAAATTAATCATCATCATCTTGTGACGTGTAATGTTAATGACAATAAAGTTTCTGTGGCCTGTCACAAGCGTTATTGTTGACTCATAAAGATAACAACTGTATTAGATGATGCTGTGCCAAGTGTGCCAGTAAGTATAGTATGCAGGACTTCACTGTAGCACATCCATCAAGGAGATATCCAGCGGAATATTAAAGTAGGCACCCTAGGCCTAAATACTTGGTTGCTGATACTAAGGAGTATCAGTGCGTAAACATACGTATTGAATATACAGTGTACAAAAGTGTACAACAGAGTGTACATTAAAGTGTACAACACTCAGGTCCTGGCACAAAGCTAAAGTCCAAACGGCAACAACCAGGAACTTACAGCTGGTGAACAAAGAAAAAAAAGAGAAGTATTACCTATGTTTCTTCTTCTCCTGCTCTTTATCTCCCAATGGAGCATAAGCCCACAACCAAGTCACACCAAGTCATCCTATCCTGTGCTATCGCAAGTAGCTTACTCGATGTTCCAGGTGAAAGGAAGTGCGTTAGCGATCGGGACTCCTTTCGGCTTTCTCCGCACCATGACATCTTTTTACTTTTAGAACAGCCTGCCCTTATCTTGGCTGGCTGTGTATTACTTGTTTCTCTTTTTGACATGTCCATGGCTGGGTTTTTGTGGCCAGTGATTTATTCATTATTTTTTTTTAACAGGATGTGGTAGCCAACCCCAAGCCCAACCCTACTCTTAGTTGCCTCTTGGTAATCTTAGTCTCAGCTTCATAGCAAACGAGTCATCCCATAGCTGCTCCGCTCCTGTACCAACGAAAAACACACAGAATGTTTATCACAGTCCCTTGTGGAAAGATTGACAGACTGCTGTCTCAGCATATGCACTAGCATACACACGCATTAAAAGCATACGGTAGCCATCGGAAGTGCTAACACAAACAGTCCGACATTAGAAATGCAGTTCATCATTGATGGTAGCAGAAGTTACCAACAGATCAGCAGTTGCACACGCGATCAATATTAATCACATAAGGGCACCACCAATATTGCGGTGACCGGCCACGAACCATTTTGAACCTACAGTTCACAACACCATGTTGCTCGCAGTCAAAAAACATTCCAAATGAAATTTGCAGCTCACAGGGTCGCGCCATGCACTCAACTCAGTAGCTGGCGCGACGAAACTATATCCTTTCAGTCTATAGATCAATCAAAAATGCAACGACCACAGTCTGGCAGAAGTAGAAAAAGTTGCCTCGACGCGAAACAGTGACCGCTGGCGTCCATTTTGACCAGAAGTTGCCTCTTACAACATGCATGGTTGGCTGCAATGTTACTATTCTTTGCTTCCTGTGAGGACCCTGGCAACACACAGGCAATTTACTATCTTCAGCTCACTGATAATGATATTTCAGTCTGTTGTGTCCTATGTGGAGTCTGAAGATTTTCTGCTTGTTCACTTGAATCAAGTTAGTAGTATGTTTATTTCATTCATTATCCTGTTGTGTCATTATATGTCACATAAGGCTTGCAGTATATTCCTCCATTCCACACTATCTTGTGCAATCAGTTCAATATCATGGGTGGAATCCAGTACAGCAGCTTTGGCCTCTCTCATCGTCTGTCTTAGGATTTGTTTTGGGTATCCTTGCCCCTCTAATCCCTTTAATTACCATTTTATTGCCTGTTTGGTAATTCAGTTTATTTTACAATTTTTCAAACACAAGAGAAAACTACCCAGAAGCACAGATGCATTTTTTTCACTTACCTCTCCACCTTGATGTGGTAGAAGGCTTATGTGTCCCTCCGACTCCAAGATCTACGACAGTAGGGTCTGGTCAAGAATAGGAATCAAATAGAGAGAAAAGCAAAAATTCAGCCTTGTAGATAGACCAGGAGAGTCATGGGATAAGGAAATCAAACATAAAAATGCTTGCCGAAACTGGATATAATGAACCACATGCTTGCAAAACAATTTAGTGTCACTCACTTCATGTCACAAAAAAATAATAATTCTGATAGACAAAATGTCCTGTGTGTGTTCTGGGCCCAAATTTGGAGGAGGAGGAGGAGGAGGAGGCAGGAAGAGAATAGACCCACTGCCCTTTAACAAGCATGCCATAAAAGGGGACTAAACTGGTTAGCTGAAATCATATGTGTTTGGCCAAAAAGCTTAGATTATCACAGTAAACAATGCAATGTGCCAAATGCCCCATTTAAGGGTGAACATAAAAGAAGTAGAAAAAGAAGATGACGACAACAACAACAAAATCTACCTCTATTCCATACTCTTCAGCACTTAACGTTCTCTGCTCTAGAAGTACAAAATCTTCAGGTGAAACCTCCATCATGTAGAAATGAAGAACCAGTTTTTTCCCTTCATGTACATACGAGGCTATTCTATCTCCATCGGTAAAAGAGTATTTGCTCAGGTCAAGGCCAATCTCTTCATGCATTTCTCTGTTGACTCCCTGCAAGGGTGTTTCTCCATCGTCAACAAGGCCGCCTGGAAAACCTAGGACTCCGTCAAACCTCAACTGCATCTGTAAAGTTCAAAGGTAAAAATTCAAGATTTGGCTATCCTCCGACTAACGGTCGGCAAAGATGGCGGCCGCAAAATATCCAGCCGAGCCGCAGTCACGTGTCAACTGCGTGCTTCCAGCTACTTAATTTGCGGTCTTCCAGCGGTTTTCCGCCAACAATTGCTACCGCCATGTGGCCCCCACACCACTCACGCAACATGGAATGGGGCTAAAATAGATGGCTAGGACTCACGAGCAGCAGCTTCCGCATCTCCTGCTGCCTTGCTCGTGAGTCCTAGCCATCTAGTTTAGCCCCAATCCACGCCGCGCGAGCGGCGTTTGGGCCACGTGGCGGTAGCCATAGTCGCCGGAAAAGCGCACACTAAGTAGCCGGAAGCGCGCAATTGACACTTGACTGTGGCTCGGCTGGATATTTTGCAGCCGCCATCTTTGCCGACCAATAGTCGGAGGATAGCCAAGATTTTAATGCAACCCAGCGCTGACTTTAAACTATGTTGTTAAATGTTGAATTAAGAATCGACATCACAGAACTCGGGACACCCCATAAGCGCTCCGTCCCCATCTTCAACAGCAAGCGAAGAGGTAAAATTCTGATGGTACCAGTAACTTTCTGATTGTATATCCGTCTCGCCTTTTCCCTGAGTACCGAGCGTTGGCCAGATCCCCTTGTAACTCCTCGCAGTGCCATTCTCCTCAGAATGTAATGATCTATCTGTTCCTTGGCACTTTTCACTAGCTTCCAAAGGGCCCTCACAACATCCAGCTTGTCACACATCAGTCTATCTGCCTGCTCATTTCCCAACACACCTGCATCACCTGGAGAAAATATCCAAAGGATACTAATTACCCGGGACCTTTGAAGTGATGCTTGTAACGTACATTTTATTAAAGATGACTATGGTGATATTAATTAATTTAATCACATCACCCATTGAGGACTGATGGATCTATACAAATATGAGTTTAGGGTCATAAGCTAAGCCTGATACACCACTAGTGAAATACTTAAAAGAGTTCTATACTTTTACTTATTATTTATAACTTTCACTTTATTATTTATTTTATTCACTACTCAACCCTTTGGAGACAACACAGCCAAAATACACAGTAGCCAAAAGAACGACTGGGCCGATTGGTCGGCCCTATGTAATACAAGCCTTGAGATTGGCTGGTAGGTTTTCGTACCAGCCAATCAGATTGCTTCTCGCATTTCTTGAACATGTGGCCTGTTTATTGACAACTTTAGAAAGAGTTTGATGTGTTTGATAATTTTACATCAATTTTTTTTTTCAAGTTACCTGTGCCCAACAATGGCTAAAATGACTGTTGCGTCATAGCAATTGAAACACAGCTGAAGGCAGGAAAATTTGTAGAACTATGTGTCAGAGGTGTCTGAAGGGCCTCCAAGGGCCTTACTTCCCAAAGCAAAAATGTTAGGACTTTCTAAATTAAAGCTTCATCCATCAAAATATTCACCCAATTTTTTTTTTTAGGTTAAAAATATTTGTTCTCAAGTTTAAAAAAAAATGCTTGCATAAATTATGCAAATCAAAATAGGTTAATGTGAACAAATGTTGAGATTTCAGTTTGATTTATACATATTCTATTAGCTCATTCGATTTCCTACACGAATATATATAGTTTTGGGCTATTCTCGGAATAACGGTCCCAAATTATTGAGGCCAAAAATATACCCTAACAGGGCCTCAGTCACATGTCAATTGCGGACTTCCGGGTACTATACCGCCACTCCCAAATTGCGGACTTCCGTGTACTATACTGCCACTGCCGAGAGTATCACCCATGCCGCTCACGCCGCGTGGATTAGGGCTAAACTAGATGACTGGGACTCACGAGCAAATAAAATTAAGATAGGCTATCCTCCGAATAACGGTCCCAAATTATCCTCCGAATAATGGTCCCAAATTATCGAGGCTGCAAAATATACCCTAACAGGGCCTTAGTCACGTGTCAATTGCGGACTTCTGGCGACTTAAATTGGGCACTTCCGCCGGAAGAGTATTCCCCATGCCGCTCACATGGCGCAGATTGGGGTTATACTAGATGGCTGGGACTCACAAGCAGCAGCTTCCTTCATTTTATTTGCTCATGAGTCCCAGCCATCTAGTTTAGCCCCAATCCACGCTGCGAGGGGAATACTCTCGGCGGTGGCGGAAGTGCACAATTTAAGTTGCCAGAAGTCCGCAATTGACATGTGACTGAGGCCCTGTTAGGGTATATTTTCGGCCTCAATAATTTCGGACCGTTATTTGGAGGATAGCCTAGTTTTGTATATGTTAATTAAACGCTTTATTTTTAAACAATTTTTGTGTGTGTTAACTATGAAAATAACTTCCTGAAGGCTTCGTCTTTATGGTACCTAAACTCCAAAAGGCCCATCTGCAGAGGGTTAATATTTTTATTAACACATTCAACTCACCATAACCATTCCTTTCATATCATACAGATCCCACAGCAATTTGCTGCGTCTAGCGAATATCATCCCGTGTGATGCATGCTTCAAGGGCGACAAGGTGGCATTTAAACTCACAAGCTCCTCTGAAGATAAGAGTTTGAAATCGTCAACCTTGTCCCCAAGGGTGCCGAACCCTTCCATGTCCGCCAACCATCCCCAGCCAATATCCGTCATTTTGTTTGAATACTTTTATGTCGATTCACACAAGAACGTGTGTTGCTTCCTTCCCCGCAAGGAAAAGTTGTACTTCTATCCCTGCAAAGAAATGTTTTATTTCTAACCCCACAAGAAGAGATATACAACTACAAGTTTAATAGTTACAATAATTATTAATATTTATAACGTTTGTTAATTTCCATCTGAATCGAGTCTTTGGTTACTAACAGTTTGAGTTTAGAGTAGCCTGCCCTTGCGTCGGTGCGTTGGCTGTAGTTGATCTTAGTTAGCCTTGTCACTCGCCCTGATATAGTCTCTCCATTTGATATTATTATTATATAACTAAGTAGCTTTTGCTCCCCTTCTTTTAACTCTTTCGCCAAGTATGGTTTATTCAAAATATGCCGTCCTTTGAAAATTCTACTTTATTCAACAGAGTTTAGGGTTAGAGGGGGAAGTGTGTACCTATTCACTATTGAGTTTCGGATCTGAATCCTTAACACCCTACCCTGTTTGGAATTCATGTCACTTTATAACCGTCATGGGTCCTAAATACCTTAACTGTTGAACGGGATTTCTGGGAATTTTCATCCGAACTTTGACTCTGTAGGAAACCAGGTTTTAATCGCTCAGTATGCATAACTAGGAGTGCAGAGAGACAGATTTTAAACAACATATTCATTCCAACATTAGGCTACCAGTGCTAAACATGGGCACTATCTAAAGCCCATATACGCAAAATCACCTCCTGCGAGATGAGGTGCCTGAGAAATGCAGTAAACCTAACCATCCAAGATCGAGTGACTAATGATACTGTCAGACAAATTGTGGTAACAACACCTTATACTAGATTCATTGAGAAACAGCAAATCAAGTGGTCTGACCATCTCGTTAGAATGCAGCAAGATCAAATACCATCACAAGCACTACATCTCAGAAGATCAGCTACAAGAGCAAGAGGACGGTTGCGGAAAAAATGGATCGACAACATTAAAGACACTACGCCTTCACGGCATGACAATAGCCAGTGGCAGACATAATGCACTGGATCGCGAATTATTCCTCCCCACGGTGCTTAACGGCAGAAGTGATTTATGATGATGATGAGTATGCAGTCCTAGTGGGGTTTAACTTCAGTATAGGAATGGAGGAGGTAGTTTAGATGGCCAAGAGCAGCGCAGCCCAACATGTAGTCATTGTAACGGACTCACAGAGTAAGCTTCGGAAAATAGTAACTGGCGTCGTAAGTTTTGAGTGGCTTGCTTCGCTTGATAAGACTGTTCCGGAGCATATCGTGAATTTGATGTCCATGATATTCTTGTGTGAGGGGCAATGAGCAGGCTGATAGATTAGCTGCTGCTACGCATCTGGGCGGCGAGCTACGTTACGATAAAGCGAAAGTGGTGAGGGGGTTCTTTTCTATTTAACGACCACATCGCCCGTGATTTTAGGGACATCCCATATTATGGGGGCAAAGGGTTAGTAGTAGTCGCCATTCATTTAACACTTGTCATAACCCTAACACCCTATAATATGGAATGTCCCTAATTCATTTGTGATGTGGTCGCTACACAGAAAAAAAAAAAAAAAACGGTGAAGGCTCTCTGTGATCAAGTGGACAGTGCAACAAAACAGACTAAATATCCATACATTGACAGACTAATTCAGCGAGGATTAAGCTGGGGGTCTGGAAAATATTCAACACTTACTGACTTAGTCGCTCCTCTTCTACCTTGGGATGTAGAGGTTTGCCAGAGAGATCGCCAGGCTTATTTATCAGCAGTTTTCTATCTGGCTTTGTTCCATTCCACTCCTCTGTCAGTTAGAGACTGTCGGATGTTGTCTTCCCAGCGCACCCTGGAGGTCTGGTTCCTTGGTTCTTAGCCTCCCATGCCTGCCTTGGTGGCCGATTTTCTCCCATTGTGCATACATGTCCAAACCATCGTAACTATGACTGATCCACTCGGGTTTGTAAGGACTGAGTATCAAGATCTTGACGTATTGTCTGATTGCGGACTTTGTCCCTTCTTGTCATTAGGACCACCTTTCCCAGATACCTCATTTCTGACGCCTGAAGCTGGCTTCTGTGAGCTGTTATCATTGCCCATGACTCACATTCATAGGTCAGGACTGGTACATAGGTAGAGATATTCAAAACTGCGGAGGGAAACATACGCGGACTATTAATCAGGTTGCAACAGGTACCATAGGCATACCGACTCTTCGTTGGCTACCTTGGGTGGGAGAGTGCACGTGTGGAAATGACCCGAGTGCAGTGATATCAATTCTTGATTCATTCACTCACATTAAGACCTACATGTGCATTAGGGAATTCACGAAGAAGGGGTCAACATTTGTGATTTGTTGAGATAACACACGAATGTGCGTAGACGACAAGTTTCTATTGTAATCGCCATTTCCACTTTTGCAAGTGGAGTGGCGTTAGGAAGAATAATTGGTGGTCCATTCATGGGTAGCACTGGCCGGTGTCGTTTCGTTTGAATGTGCAATACTTGCTGGTATCGACATCCTAGCAGTAAGGCTGAACAGTTTACGGAAATTCCCATTTTGTTAGGCCGGTCTGTACTCACCATTGTTGTCGAGTAAACTTATATATACAAATTAAACTACAGTACAATAGTAGGGGGCCTTCGTGGTCTCGAGGCATGATGTCCTTGGTGCTAGAGGTGCCGGTTTCAATCCCCGGTAGGGGTGGGATTTTTTCACGTGGACTTAGTCTTGGAGTAATTCCAACTGGTCTCTGGGTAGTGAGATGGGACGCCCATGTGCATTGATGCGTACGTAAAAAAATATCCCTTGGCAGTTGGAAATCGAAAAAAAAAGTAGCCTAACGGCGCTGCCCGGGCACAATTTGAAGTTAAAAATCTACCTAAAGTATTTCAGGATCCCCGCCGGTGCTACATAGCTTGTGCACTGTAACGAGCTTCTTCGGACTCAGCCTTGAGTTAGAAAAAGAACGAAGCACTTATGGGTTACTACCCGTGTGCCATGATGTTGATCTGAGGTTCAAACTTCAAACTACTGTGCAATTGTTGAATTATCATTAAGAAGATAAATAAGTGAGCCATCAGAAAATATAATAATAATAATAATACAATATTCAATAAAATATGTTACAAGTTAATTTAAACTGTAGTTTAATTTGTGTATGCATTTGCTCGACAACAGTGGTGAGCACAGACCGGTGTAGATCGGCCTAACAAAACTGACGTCCAATAGTCGTCCCCATGTGGGATGCAATTGTTTGTTATTTGAAGCCCCACCCTGGCTTTTGCCGGGGGCCCTGAATATAGCAGGGCCATATAATTATGTGGCCTCACGGCTGAAAGGGGTTTCTGTGACCTCTCAAAGTGTGGTCCTCATCAGCATGTTGGCACTTTGTGTCACCGGGTGTTTATTGCTTGTTGATACCCTGGTGGGGTACAACTACCTATCTACTTAACAACATGGAAATTTCCGTAGACCTGTTTGACCTTACTGCTGGTCCGTCCTTCGATGCAGCAGCCATCTCTGTTTCTCCATGCACAACGTACCCAACATTAGTTGACTGGAATATTGTCTTTCTTTATCACGCAACCAGTTTCTACGGGCTTATCCTTGTAATAAGATAATACCAATTTCCAACTGGCATTTCATTGTCTCTTGGTAGCATCGGAACTGGAACTCTTTGCTTGCTGCTGTGTCCTACACGTTGAGTGGCTTGCTTCGCTTGATAAGACTGATCAGGACTTCCTGGTCTCTGTCTTCAGAATGTACAATAGCGGTGCCGGAACCGGGGACACTGTGAACTTTCTTCTTCTTCGTTTCGTCTTTTACAACTTCGGGTGTTGGGGCAGATATAAGGTTCTACTTCTTGCTCTTCTGGTCGCCTCGACCAGAGCGTGTTTTTGTAAAGTTTTTCTGATGTTATCTGTCCACGTGGGACTCGGTCTACCTTGTGCTCTATGTCTTTCTTCTCTTTTGGTGTATGACTTGTGTATTATCATGTCACAATGCATTCTCTTTGAGTGGTCAAACCATTCGATTTGCTGTCTTCAGCGAGACGACAAAAAAAGAAATATGTAATTTAGAACTGTTTCTGTGACAATTTTGCTTTTTTTGTATCTTTTTTCTTCTTCTTTGTGTTCGGTTTCGTATGTTTAGATCAGACCATCAGGTTGGTTGCCTCTATGAGCTCGCATGTCAGCTGCAGGTCCTGCATGGTTCCCCATAGCTTGCTCTGCACACTTTGGTCTTAAGACCAGGTGTCTTTTTGAAGTTGTAGGTAAAGTGGGCAGGTCTGCACAATGTGCTCAGGTGTTTGTGGTCCTGTGGGGACTGTACAATCTTTATTCTATGCATGAGGCAGTTGAGCCTGCAGTGTCTTGTTGTATGTTGCTTTCTGTTGAGTCGCTTTTCTTGTATGACCTCATTTCTGAATCAGTCTGATTTTATCTCTTCTGGTCATGTGACGTTGCGGCCCACTTCCCTTGAGATTACAACACTTTTAGTGTGACGTCCCGGGTCGTAGGTTCTCTGGATTTGGGTTTAAATGATTTATATGTTGAGTAGGGATTTTCCTCTCAACACATCCCCTCCACCAGATTAACTGAACTATTATCTGGGCTATGTTGCTCTCAAAGTCCTGGATATCCAAGAAAACAGCCATATTGGCTCGTTATTTATATTAACTTTAGCTGAATGTGGTACCCACAAGAGAAGGAAATGGGTTTTAGATGTCTATATATTATTATTTTGAATGATTTACTAGACAGGGCAGTTGACCCAATCCGTCGACCTTCTCTTGGAACAAAATTAGTATTATTTTATGAGCCACCACCAAATGCTATTCTATCTTAACAATTTAATTAAACATGTAAGAACAGACACACTTGGAATTATAAAAACTGATGCAGGATAAGACCAGACAATTGATTTATTAACCTAGCAACCATTTTAGTTATTTATATTTTTAGTCAGTAGTGATGGTATGGTGGTAATGATATGCTTCAGCTAAC